CTGATATCTGATAAATAATGTATATTGAAAGTAAATATGTGTGAGGAAAATAATTATATAGTATACCAGTAAAAACAATTGTCTAAAACAATAATCTAAATGAGATCAGGCCATCACGCCCGGAATTATCCTCTAATGTGCATTTAGTAGGTTGGATTATCTGAAACAGCACACTTGTTTGCTTGTTAGGCTAGTTAAATTTCAAAGAAGGAATAATTGAAGTATTACGTAAATTGTGAAATAGACTACTTATTATTCGGTTTTCTTCAGGGCTGTGGAACACCGGACTGTTCATCCGTACTACGAATCTTAGTGCCAGATGAACTACACGGATCCCTGAACACCAGAACGCTCCCGGTACGACCTAACATGAACACCAGGGAGATCTGTCGCATCCTCGCGCATAAGATAAGGTGTACCAACCCTCAGGACTACGGTCTCTTCAAGTTAGTCCAAGGGGAAGGCAAGTATTCAGGTGAAGGTTTGAATAATTCTAAAAATCGACGAATTATCATCTTCTAACGAAAGAAATCCGTGTTACAGAAACCTTACTGGGTGATCACGAATGCCCCCAAGAGCTCTCTCACTGCCTTTTCGCGTACAAGCGGATCGATGCCAAGATTGCCTGGCCAAGGACCAGTTCTTAATGGACCCCGCGATAAGAAGTCACTTAGGGTAAACCATGTCCGTTCCGTTTCTGCACCGTTCGTCAAGATTCCTCGAATGGTGCGCAACGGTTGATCCATGTAGCTTCGAAACAGATTCGAAGGAACGATTCTCAGTAGTCATTCTAACACAATCTCGAGCACAAATCCGTAACTCTGTCTTAGACATCGAACACTGCCAGTCGTAGACAATTGTCGAACGAGAAACGAACGAATTTCTGTCGCGTATGATTCCAGTACTTAAAAGTGGCCGAAGCTTCAACGGTGAAAATTAATTCTAGCACTGAACCCGGGACTGTATTATACGTTCAGTGTGTCGTCTGGCCGCTTTCCGTTCGAACTTTCCAAATTCCAAACGATCTTCTTCGACCACGTGCGAAGAAACGAAAGGTTTCCCGTGGAAAACATTCGACATGGCTAAACGATCGTTCATCGTGTCAGATTAGCGGAACACGAGCTCCATTAACATTCAGTCGGATTTAACTTGCCACCGAGCAGGTGCTAATGTCGGCTCGGCCCATCCGTGCAATCGGTTCGTTCCATCGGCGATTGAAATAGTTTCGAAACCCGTTCCCCGCGATTGGTGTGTAAGGAAAATCGTATGTTACTCAGTATTCGATATTTCGTGAAACTCTGGAGACGCTGCTCTGATCCATTCCGGTGGGGCAGAGCAAGGTTCGAATCGAGGAATCCACGACTCTTCTGGATCCTCGCTCCAGAAGAATTGTAGATGTCCTCGAGGCCAACTTTGCAAGGAATTATTCTACGTTTTCTACAGGATAAGCGACTGGAATGGAATACCTGAACGTTTCCGTTCTATAATTTGTTTTTCTCATTTCTTCCCTTTTTGCACATAAAACTTATCTTCTTTATATAAACGTAGAAGTTTTTAAATAACTGAGATAATGTTTTGAACATTGAAAAACAAGTGTTCAAAACGCCGACCCTCTTAATGAGAAAATTCTATTGTTGCCAAAAACTGAAAAAAAAGGATCTAAGAAAATGTAATTTTTATTCTTCCCGATTCTTCTAAAAGTAACCGACCGAGATCCTTCGAAAAGACAGAAACATTCGGGTGGTCCTTTCCAGATGACTCGCGCCTAAGGAAGCATGATCGCGTTAAATCGGTAGGAGACTCCTTGATACAAATTAATTAGACTCGGAGCACGAAAGACTAGTTTAGACTCTATTTTAAGTACTTTGTACGAGGACGTGGCGAATTACTGGATAAGCAATCTGTACTTTTAAGGCGGACGTCGCATATTTATTGGAAGTTGTACACATATTTTAATATTTGTCGGACGTTTCTCCTTGCGCGCGTGTCGCTTCATCCTTTTCCCCTTACCCCCTGTACTTCCTCCGCTCCCGGTTCTCCAGGGAGTTTTTTTTGCCAGGCTGATTTGGCGCCTCAATCTTTTAAAGGCTGTGGAATATTCTCCGACGATCGTGGGAAGCTTGATTTAGAAAAAGAGAGAAAAAAGGAGAAAAAGAGAGGGAGATAGAGAAAGAACAACGAGAATGCTTTCAATTAAAATAAAAACGAGAAGCAATCAATAAAGAAAACGAGAAAGTGAGTGAGAGAAAGAGAGAAAGAGAGGAAGAGAGAAAGAGAGAAAGAAAGAAAGAAAGAAAGAGAGAGAGAG